CTTGGACATAAAATTAATATTAAACATTGGATAACTTTAATCTAATGTGTTTATAATGAATATCTCAATATATAGAAAGATGATAAGATGATTTGGTATGATTGCAAATTAGACAACTTTCCATTACAGACCAAATGATGAAGTTAGCAATTAAAGTTCAAAGTACGAACTTCAACAATGATCCAAACCCATTCCGCACAGTAAGCTTTACGAAGCCCCTATAAGACAAATGAGAAAATTAACAGGTCTGATTTATCTAAAAAATAATAAACGAAAAACAAATATGATAACAGTAACAATCGAGAACTACCGAATTACAGTCTTCTCCTTACCTGGGACAGTACTTTAACCGCACAAGAACAAACTATACTGATAAAACAGTATTCAAAAATCTTATTACAATGTTTAATTGTTTACTTTTTACAATACGTGAATTTAAAGGATCAATTAGTTAACACAGATCGTATTTAAATATACAAGCTCTATAAACAACATCACCGTATAAAATAAGGATGTGATATCCCGTTTGTAATAAGTTTTCTACAGGTACAGTCAAACTTCCACACTATATCTTTGTATCTATGAAACATGTGAAAGAAGTAAGTAAAGGTTTAAAGTAGTTCGTAGTAACGAATTTCTTCACTTAGTAGTTTACCAGTGATACATAGATTACGATCATTGAATTTTATAAAGTCACTTCAGAGACGGGCATAGCGAATTATTTGAGATATATAAACGCCGTAAGGTTGGACCAAAGGAAAATCACAGTGCAAAGAACAATAGGGAACTAAAAATAATCTCTTTAGACATAAATATTTGCATAACAGTTTCCCGTGTGAAACTGAAATAACTAAATATACGAAAGGACAGTTATAGCTGTTGATATTTGATTGATTTAAAGTAAGTTCCTTTGGATAAGTATTGGCAACTGTATATTTAGAGATTTTTTGATTATGTAACGCAAAAATATCACCAAGATAACGGCAAATGTTGTTGAATTTCTCAATAATATGAAACTTAGAAGGTCTTTACTGAATTAGGCAATACACATTGATTCATAACAATACAGGAACAAGTCTGCTTTTAAATGGCCACAGTCGGTGTCCATGTGAATACCTAAAACCTGTCAATAAATAAAGGCAACAGTAGTATATCTCTCTTCAAAAGTCATAAATCAATTAAGCGAAAACAAATCCGGGTAACAAACTAAAACCAAGGGAAACAAATCAACTTTAAGAGGAAAACAACGGAACTACAGAAACACTGAACTGCAACAAAAACAAACGCCAACATACATAGAAACGGACTGTTAACAACTGCCATATTCCTGACTTGGACCAGGACATTTTAAGAAAAAAATGGTGGGTTGAACCTGGTTTAATGGCTAGAAAAACCTCCTGCTTATATGGCAATGTTAAAAATACCGCTAAAATGACAACACTACGCGACAAGAATACAGTACAAACAAACGCAAGAACACTGAGCACAGAGAAATACATAATAAATAATACAATAGTACGTTACAACATGTAAACGTCAGAATAACAATTGACACCTCCCATGAATTTACGACAACACACCAGGATAACACAAACGAAATATAAACTGCGCGTCACATGAATGGATCAACGTCACAAAAAGTGACGTATTTTTTGTGACGTTTATATTATCACAGATAAATTTCTAATAATAAAATTGTTTTATTTATAGACACGTACAAGACTATTAAATTGGGAGTAAGTTTGTAATGGTGTTATGTTATGTTTTTTCTAACCATGACAAGAATATTCAAATGGAATTGTGTTTGTAATGTGTTATTATTTGTATTTTCTAACCATGTCTGTTTTTCTTCCAAATCAAAACTGTGTATAAACAACAAAATCATGTGCATATAGTTGCTTTAAACTTAAAACCATATAAATGAAATAGCTGATTTGTTATCTTAACTTTTACATACATATAGAAAATAAAAATAAAATAACTGAACAGAATTCAAAACACAAACGAAATAAACAGACAACAACTCGGCACAAAATGACCCACCGGACACACGTATAAGAAAGTAACACCAAAATGCCCGAAAACGGGATATATAAATACTGAACCACGTCGTCTCTAACAGCGAAAATAACATTACATAACATAACAAAGTATCCAACCGGACTTACAAAAAAAAAACAGCATCATAACTAAATACACGAATGTTGAATGTATAAATACCGGGACACCGAGCAATGCGAATTCACACTCGGCAAAACAGTCATATTCGGGAATAGGTCACGTTCGCTATTAGACCAGACGACTTAGATGGTAACCCACAATCCAAGACGTGGTAAACATGTCGTTACTTAGCTTAGCCACAGACACATCGTATAAATCAACCAATTCGTGATAGTGTCCATAAAATGTACGGAGTGTCATTTTTAATTCTCCTCCTCGTAACTCTGTTGGATCAGTTTCTGCGTAAGGAGCACACTCCTGTATATGAAGTCCGTATAGTGTGAACATGCACGATCATAACGTATCAATTGAGATATGTAAACACCATACGACGGGGCAGAGGGTATGTTACTGCTGAGAAATGGGAAATTGATAATTGGGAAGTTGAAATCATCCCATTTGTCATAGATTTTAGTGTGAAGTCGTCCATCTGTGTCAATATTGAGGAAAAGATCAAGGTATGAAGCAGTCCTTCTAGTATCAGTAGTATCCTTAATTTCAAGTTCACTGAGATATATGAGATGTAAGTACTGGCTGAAATATGGCTTATTCAGTGATAGGATTTCATCAATATATCTGAAAGTAAAATCAAAGAATTTCGCAAGGTGCTTTTTCTGTTTGTCTTTTAGAAGGTTCTGAATGAATTCTGCTTCATACGAGCACAAAAACAAATCGGCAAGTAGGGGTGCACAATTAGTACCCATTGGAATACCGACTGTCTGTTGAAACATAAATCCTCCAAACTCAACAAATATATTGTCGATCAAAAAGTCTAGCATTTTGATAATATCATCTTCAGTGTATTTTCTGATATAATCAGTGTGGTTCTTTACAAAATAAGAATTATTATCACCCAAAACAAGAAATTTATATACACGATTCCCATTTTTATAGAAAAAGCTCTGTTTAATGATATGGTGAAGTCGATATTTCAATTGAGCATTGGGAATAGTAGTATAAATCGTAAAAAAATCAAAGGTCTTAATCATGTTAATGATGCTGCAAAATTGCAGAGATTGTGATCTAAGATTTAGCAGTAGATCTTTAGAATTTTTAAGAATCCACATCTGATTGACACCACTGGTTGAATATATCTCATCAAAATATTTTTTAAAGGTCATCTTGTACGGTAGAAGGAATAGTAGTCAGCACTTTAGAAAGATAAACTTTATTTTCTTAACAAACATAGGTATTGTTAAAAAGTAAATTTACAGTTCTAATATAAGCCTATCCGATGGAAAGTTACAGATGATCATAAAGAGTTATTGCTAAATACATAGTATATACTAAGCAAACATTTTTACCAAAATGAGATTAATGGCGGACATGATAAATAATCAATCTCGTGTCTTTCATGTGACGTATAAATATACAAAAGATCATTCGTGTATTCGTGAATATGAACAGCAGCCAATATATTTCCGCTTATATTTTTTTCAAACGACCATTTAATTTAATATGATTTAACTAGAAGATGCCCACGAAATCGCGGTACAATTGGGCAAGTGTTGAAACAAAGATTGTCAAGGGTGCCTGTGTTTACACATAAAAAGGGGGAGGGTCCGGACGTCGGGTGCCTGTGTTTACACATAAAAAGGGGGAGGATCACTTCGACACGTTCAACGCCCATTTCATTTTTAGACAGTTCTGCACCTGAGTAAAAAGGGTGGATGTCGTTTAATTTAGCAAAATGATGCACTTACAATACAATACAGGATCCTTATAGGCCTAACTGTCCTATTTTCTATCCTTTCTTCTTACTTTCACTTGGATTTCGCGGGCAGTACGTCGACTGAGTATGCGCGAAAGCGTATAAGACACGGATCGATAACGGTCTCCGAATTTGGATATTTTCTCAAAAATTGGCTTTTTCTGTGGAAAAAAGATTGTTTAAAAGACAAATTTAGGAAGTATAAAACACTACATTTATACGTCAAATCACAAATATTTCCGACTTTGTATGGTTTCAGAGGAGTCGCAGCTCAATGAAATGGTTTCTTCCGTTAGTAGTATATATATTGTGTGGAAGTGCACTGCAGAGTGTCAAACAGTCAAAACTGTCATCCGAATCAAAGGAACAACCAAAAAGCACGTTATTTATCTAAAATATCCAAATATTTTTTCAAACTCCAAAAAAAAACTAATTCAATTATTTTTATATGCTTTTTTACAACAGTTAATCGTAATTTTCATGATAGAAGTTAGGGAACTAATTAAAATCACTGAAAGATTAGTTGTAGAACACTTACTAGAAGCATTGATAAAACGATATGTAACAGGTTTGTTGTTTAGATTATGTTTTCAATACGTAGTAGTGATGTTCTGTGCTTTGATGGTTAACTATGTGACCTTCTGTAGAGCACTCGGACCTGAATATTGAATAATTTAGGATCAAATTCTTAAGAACTTCGGTGTAGTATTTATGTCATACAACCACCACATTGTTTGCTGCTTTTGTGGCCAGTACGATCCATCACAAATCGCTTTGTGAGTACTTGAAGTTGTTTCTTATTCTAGAAATGGTCATATTATCTATATTATTATATGCGGTATGGGCTTTACTCATTGTTGAAGGCCGTTCAGTGACCTATATATAATTTATATGTCATTTGGTCTCTTGTGGAGAGTTGTCTCATTTGCAATTATACCACATCTTCTTTTCATATTATATACCCTTGTATAAGTTCCTATAAATTATGTTCGGACTGTGAAATTAGAAAATCCACAATATACATTTACTCAAATAAGAATCGAGAGATTTAATGTGAAAAGTTTCCTGTTTACACCAATTCTTACAATATGATGAAAGATTGTCTTAAATGACCTGATTTTGTAATGGAAAAACACATACCAAGACATGTTATTGGCCAATAAACAATCAATGATTTTCAATGACTGGGTTAGCTACGTGAAAAGTTGCAGGGCCAATGCTAACTTTCAATATTGGACCAACAGGTATGTTTTTGTAGGTTGTTACGTTGTAGCTTTGATTCAATGCTGAACTCCATCCGTTTGATACAATATATATAATTGAATGATTGTTATTGTAACACGGACATTTGTGCAAAGTTAATGCGTGTATATTGTTCCTGTTTCTGGATATTGCTGAGTAAATTTGTGACAGTATTTGTTAAATTTATTTCGCCATTTGATTCGCTTGTTGTTTGTTGATGTCAGCGGCATATGTGTTCGTCGACATACATAATTCCACACAAACATTGTGGTAGAGGCCATTGTGACCTTGCAGTAAGGTGCAAGCTTTTCCTCTGTGTTGAATGCGTCATTGTGATAGTCAAAATGTAAAGCACTTTTATTTTTCTTTGGTTTATTGTCATGAATTAATATACTATCTTCTTTTGAATTATATAAAAAAGTGCAGCCGATTGGTTTTATTGATTTGTACAGTTAAAGTCATAGTTATGACTGTCATAATTTTCTGCTCAGATATTAGAATAGTTGTCTCTTCTGTAAATTGGATGTGCATGGCGGGTGATTCAAGCTTTACAGGAGACGCTTACCTTGTGACAGTAGACGAATCGTTGTAATTCCTTTTAGAGTTTTGTTTTTTATTCCGCTTTGAATATTCTGATGGATTTATGAAAATTAAACATCGGATAACTTCTTGAGTTCTCAATAAAAATGTCAACACACTAACATTTTTGAATAGAAGGGTATGCATCATCATGGTTGTCTGAGTTACTATTGTCGTCTCCTTGACAACAGATATTTTGAAAGCGTTAATTGTCTTGACTTTCTTTACATTCGACAGCATCAACAGTTTTCTTGTCACCTGTCGTCAGGTTGTTGTTATCAAATATATTTTCATCCCGAATTCTCATTCCATCGCAACTGTTTATTGTTTTGTCTGATCCGGCATGCTTGTTTATGCAATGCGGGAATTCTTTGGTTCCATGTATAGATTGAGTAACTGGCTGCAATGTTGCATCATTTACTATCACATGTATCATACTTTCCGTCGTCCGCAGTTTTTCATAATCATTATTTTTTATCTGACTGTCTTTTTGTAGTGATTGATACACATGCGAATATTTATCATCAGTTGCATCTTCATCAGTACCCGATGAACTTTCGATACACGGATGAACTGTTACAGGTACATTATACCTATGCAAATGTTCATGCCGATTTTCCTTAAATTTTGAAGGATTGATATTTTCGTTACTTGTAGAAACGATAGCGTCTGAATCAGAGGAACAAGTTGAAATACTTTCTTTTTTACACATTTGGTCATTCGACTTGTCTCCTTCGTCTTCAGCTGCAAAAACAGGATCAAGATAATCTGTATCAATATGTTCAGTGATTGTTGTGATAGACGTACGCTCTTGTGGAACAAAGTAAACAGCTTCATTATTAGACGATTGTGATGTCAAGCATACACCTAGCGTAACATCTGTTAAAACGTTTTCGTCAATTTCATGATAGACTCCAGTATACGGAGAAGTTGTTGTTGATTCCAAAACCTCTTCTTCATTTTTAAGTCTTGATTTTCGCTTACTGTAAGAACGCAATAAATGACTTAACACAGTTAGTATTATAAATCCAGCAGTACCCAGTGTATACAATAGCCAATCTTTAGTTGGTGGTCCTACAATAACGAAATTCAAATTTCATGGTAGAATAAGTGAAAATGAACATTTAAAAAAAAAACATAACTCCGTTTCACTATTGTATATAATTCAGAATTAAAAAAGTTAAACCAGACTGGTAAGTTTTACTTTCACGTGAAATTTTGTTACAAATATAAAATAGTCTAGTACCATATGATTACTTTTTAAACAATTGTATCAATTTCGAGTTATATCTGCATTTGCAATATAAAATGTATTGTCGATACGTAAAGGTAACCGAAAAAAAATATGTTTTATAGAATATTCTGATGATGCTTTTGTTCGTCTGCTTGTGATATAAATTGAATTTGTCAATTGCAAATAACGTGGCAATTATTAATAGTTATAATTAGATCTCAAGAAATTGTTGCGTCTTCCTACCACAGCTTTTTATTGTTGTCTCCTCAATAATGATAGCTTCAGTGGGAAGGCCAGTAGCAACAATAGTTGTGACAGTGTTTTCTGCAGATGTAATATCTACAATAACATTTAGTAAACCTGTAATTTTTTCTATGTAGGTTTCACAGAACAGGGCTAGAAGTCGTACTCTGATGAAGGCAATAAATGTACCAATGTTAAGTTTGTCATGCAATAGATACTAGTATTTACACTTGTTAGCATTCACATCATATATTTAAAAAGATGGGAAAATGGTGATATGGCAAAAAAAAAAAAATACCGCTAGATGTTAAGGAAACAACCACCAATTAATGTAGATGGCAATGTTTATCTCCAAATAGCTCCGTGTCTATGAAACATTGTTGATGAATTAAAAGAGACACATTCAATTATATGCCACAAAATCAATTCTCTGAAAAACGAAAATTTGAATGTATGCCATACCACAATTACCGACGAGGTTTACTCGGGACAGCTACATGAAAAGAAATTGCAGTTGATTTTTTCTTATTGAATCCCTCTCTCTCATGTTTAAGCACCGACCGTGGGTATTTAGTGTAGTTTAGTCACCTGCAGTCTTTCTCTTCCACAAACTGGATGTATGTTCCCATCTCATCTATATTACTTTACTAATATATTTATATTGTACATGACTTTTATCTAGTTGATTGCATCTGTGACAAATTGTTATATTCCTATAATGCTAAATGGCATGTGACAACATATGTATGCGTTACAAGGGAGATAAACAATTTTTTTTAATTATAACGTTTTAATGAAAATTGAAATATCGATATCATTCTAGGTTTGTATACTCATTCATTATTATCGTGTATGTATCTTGCGTTCATCATCCATTTAACGCTCATCATTCATCGTGCATTCGTCGTATGTGACACACTCATCACTCATTATCCGTTAATCATCCGTGTAACACTCATCGTGCATTCATCGTTCACTGTGCATTCACCGTCCATTTTCAGTACGTGCTATGATACGTCCATATTAGTCACATCGGTCAGTAACTTACTGTACATTTGACTTTAAAAACAAATGTATCAGAAGCAAGTTTACATCTAAGGGCTTAAACAAGTTCATATACATACATTGCAAAAAGCAAATTAATCATTAAACCATCTGAGATAAACTTTGAAAATAGTTTGTAAACTGAAATAGTTCAATGTAACTATATTTTCTTAGACTTTTAATTTGCAATTATTGTTTAACAAGAGTCGTTACTAAGAAAACTCCTAACTTTAGTAAACTCTGACCCAAGTCTGAACTATGGTATAATACATCGTTATCTATACTTCCCCCTATCGGCAGTTATACCATTGTCCGAATGAATAAGTATTCAGCCATGTCAGGCGGAAAGGAGAAGGAGTTCCGTCCTTAACAGCTATTTGTAGTTTGTCACGCTTTCTGCATGTTAAAGAAACTTTACAACAAAACTTTTAGAAGACTATAGGTGGCCTATTGCTTGGCAGAATCTTTATTCCTATCAAACATATCCTTTTCACATTGGCTGTAAAGATTATCCGTTATCCGTCCAACTTTGCAGAACCCACTTATTTTATTTTCTATGGTATAACTATACAGATTTTGACAATAGAATAGAAAATGGAAACGGGAAATGTGCCAAAGAGACAATAACCCGACCAAAGAGCAGAAAACAGCACAAGGCCACCAATGGGTCATACACGCTGCGAGAAAATTCCGCACCCGGAGGCGGGCTTCAGCTGATTTCTAAACAATAACGTATACTAGGTCCGTGAAATTGACTCCATACTAAACTCCGACACGACATCATAGTCAGCGGAAAACACTTCTTACATTTCAAAAGAAATTAAGTTAAATCTTTAAATATCGTGATCAAATTCAAACGCAACAATCAAAACCCTGTCATCATTATAATTTTAACAGACCAAAAAACATTGAAATATACTTAAAGAAAACAACTGAAGAAAATGGCGATGCGTACTGAGCGAGGACAAAAATATAAAATAATTTAATTTTAAATATGCTACAGAACAACTTTCACTTACCTTCACATCTAGGACTAAAGTATCCTATTGGACAGGAACATGTTCCGTTGATAAGATCGCATACAGCACTGTAGGGACAATCGCATTGTTCAGTGCAGTCAACACCAAAATATCCTGATTGACATTCTGTTAAATATATGATCGTTCTTGTTACAATCTGATTGGACACATGATTGAAAAAAACTTTCAATTTTTTTTTATTAAACAAGATATTTCAATGTAAATTGTCGTGCCATCTAGATGTTTAATGCATTAAGTCAGTAAAATGTAAAATAATTAATAAAAATACGTACAATATGTGTGGAGACTAAATGACACAACGGTTGTCTATGAATTATTAATACAACTGACAATTTTTTTTAACTGTTTACAAATAACTTCGAATTTTTCCTAACCGGACAGAGGTTTATATATAAATATAAGAAAGAGCAGTAGAGCACTATGATTGTTAATTGTGAAAAGTAAAACTCATGGTGGTTTCAAGCACAACATTTTTTCATGTTTTTTTCAAAACTGAACGATACTATTGTATGGTCAGTTATCAGGTTATTAGTTATGGTGCAGGTATTTGGGAAACCAGGGAATTTTCCTGCTTAAATGCAGTCCAAAACAGGGACATGAGATTTTTCATTGGAGTTGGCAAATACACACCAAATGATGCCAAAGCAGGTGATATGGGCTGGAAACCACCATGCGTTAAACAATGGTCAAGTGTCTTGAGACATTGGGCAAGGTGTTCCATAATGAACCGGCACAGAATAAATTATAAAATTTTTAAATGGTCCATACGAAAGTTTAATATTAGAATTGGGGCTTTAGAGTTATAGAGATGTTAAAAATGTATAATTATGAGCAATAATGTAATGAAAAAATAATATTAAACAAATTAAGGAAGATGTATTTGATAAATCAACTCATCATAGATACCAGGATTAAATTTAAGTTTAAGTCAGACTGGTGTACAAGAGTTGCTGCATATGCAGATGGAAGTAAATTGAGGACTTACAAAATGTTTAAAAATAATTATTGTACTGAAATTTATTTGAAAAATATTCTGTCAAATAAACACAGAAGTGCTTTTTCAAGATTTAGATGTGGGGTAGTTCCCTTAAAAATAGAAACTGGAAGGTGTGAAAGAAAAGAAGTTCATGAGAGGGAATGTTTTAACTGTAGCTCCACTATTGAAGATGAACTCCATGTCATTTAAAAATGCCCCTTATATGTAGATTTAAGACAAATCATGATACATGACGCTATACGTTTTAATGAACGTTTAAACCTACTATCAGATAGTGAAAAATTCATATTTTTATTTAATAATGAGAATGTTGCTACTGTAGTTTCCAAAACGTGCCACAACATTTTATTGAGAAGAAACAGTATTTTATTTCACTAGTTTTACAAGAAACAAAATGTTTTACATTCATGTAGTATAGATGGACATTGCAAATTTCAAAAGTAAATGTGTGAAAATGTTTATATGTATATACATGTATGTGTCTTAAAAGTCTCTTTTTAAGATTAGTGCATACATTGCAAATGTTTAACTGTTTTATGTGTTATTCTGTGAATCTTATTTAATGTTTTTATGTAGTGAGGCTATAATAAAATTTTGAATCTGATTCTGAATCTGCAATACAACCAACTCGATTGTGATTATTTGACGTTCTGCTTGAGCAAATATTGTTCCATGGTAAATATATATTATGTGAAGCAAAGTACACTATCATGCAAGCTTATCTGGATTTAAATCTTTAAAATATTCCTTTGGTTATCTCCCATTAATCGATACATTTCAATACTTGTATAAAATATGCACACAAATTCGCTTTACACATTTATATGAAATAAAACAAAGTGTCACTGATCAATATCTAAAAACAGGACTTGCCATAACTGGTAATGCACTTGCCTGACATAATATATATAAGAAAAGAAATGCATAAAAAAGTCAACATGGAGGAGCATTCTTAGTAATTCATTAAGTATATATATATCTCGTGTATCTATACAACTAAAATAACGAGGTCCAATTTGTTAGCCGGCATGACGTAAACACGACGAATCAAAGAATTCATTCAACTTTATATATAACTGATATAGGACAATGGTGTTGTTTAAAAATTACACCATTCCAGGCGGCCCTTTTTTTTCCACATAACTAATATTACTAAAATAGGAAATGTCACATGTAGTTTCCGGTTGTTGTTACCTGTTACCTTCTGTAAATCCCTCCTTTATCAAGAGAACCTGGAATTCTTCCAGTAGTTGTTTTATATTTATGTTACACTATAGTACACTATTTAACAGTCTGTTTTCTTCCACCTCAATACCACTATCAATTTTGATTAATTAGTTATATAAATAAATTTAGTTTATAGTAAGTTTATTGTAGTAAGAAAACCAGGACGGGTTCAAAAAGAACGTAAGAGAAAACTGTACACCTTACAATCAGCATGACTTTATCAGATGACAATACGAATACATAAAATCCAGGCTAAAATTAAGGCATAGGTACTTTAATTCAGTCACGGACCCGCGGGTGTGTTCTGGTATATAGGGTCCTAACAGGAAATGTCGCTTAATTATTAAACCACCCAAGACAAGCATTATCTTTTATCAAGTGTTACATAGTAGAACGATGGAATAATTGTAAAATGATAATGGTTAATGTGCTTAAATTTTCTTTCAATATGTTAAAGCTAAGTGTTAGAAAGGCCTTTTGATTTTCTTAAGACTTACTTTAATGGACCCTAACCTAGACATACCCATATTTCCAGTGATAGTCGAAATTGTTGCCATTCATCCTTGTCGAACCATATTTCAAAATCTACTTATTGAGTTGATTTTTAATGTTTTCTCGTCCTGAATATGCATGAAATATTTGCCACTTGATGTCAAGCAAACAAAAACCAAATAGTCAATCTTAAAAAAAAAAGGACGAGGAAGATACAATTAGAAAAAATTACACTGTATGGAATAAACTGACACGCAAGCCCAACTAACAAAAAGACAAAAATCAACAAAAGAATTTACTAATTGCTCATTCATTGGTATTCTTCTGAACGGCATTAAAACCCTTGCTGAAGTAGGGCATCCATTTAGCTGTGCGATGTGGATAAATTAGCAGCCACGTCCGGTGAGTATGGAGACTTTTAATCCAATGCCACGGATATAGAGAGTGTCGCGCTATCTGCAAGTTATAGAACCCTAGCAACAACCATTTGAGGCGTCCGTAGGTGGCCTGTTAAAATGCTAAATTTCTGTCCCTATCTATGTTATTCTCATTTTCAAATGGCATTCAAAATGTATCGCCCTTCATCCCAGATGAACCCCTATTGCAAGACCTACTTATAATATTGATTGCTATTTTTGATGTGGATACAAACAAATTCCAAAGATCTCTTAGAGTACATACAATCTAAGACTCTCTCATCTTGCATAAGTATTAAAACATTTGACTTTTCTACACTTTACACAAGTATTCCCCATTCCAAACTAAAAGACAAATTGAATGAGTTGGTATTACTTTGTTTCATTAAAAAGAATAGCGAACGTAGATACAAGTATCTTGTCTTGGGAAGGGATAAATCCTACTTTGTAAAGAATCACTCTGATTCAAACAAAAAATTCTCTGAAACTGACATTCAGTATGTATACTAAAGAAATTTATCCTGTTGAACTTACTTTAAATAAAGCTAATACTAACAATGACCACTGCCCTTTCCTCGATCTTGATATCTATATCATTAACGGAAAGCTTAATACTAAAATATATGATAAAAGAGATGATTTTTCATTTCCTATCGTTTATTATCCATGTTTAGATGGTGACGTTCCCTTGTCACCATCTTACGGTGTTTATATATCTCAACTTGTACGATTCGCTCGTGTATGTAACAATGTTTTAGATTTTAACGAGAGAAATTTATGTATTACTGAAAAATTATTACACCAGG